GATAAACAAATCATATGTGGGAACTGATTGATTTCTGAAATCTCCCACGAGAAAAGTGAGATCCATCGCTGCCTTAGTCATTGAGAATAAAGGTTTTAAGCTTCATAGCAATTATGGATTTATAAATGATGTCCTCTCTAGTGGCCAATCCATCTTTCCTAACTGCAAACCCTATCGGTTTAGCTTGAAGTGTGAGAGTCAGAAGTTGCAGCGATGAAGGTTTTTGTGATTATTTTCCTGGTGAATTTCACCATTTTCGCAGATGCTGGAAAAGGAGGAAGCAAATTCTGCAAGAGTGCAGATATGAAGTTGGATGAGCTAAAGGATATGATGGAAGAAAAGGACTGTCCGAGTCCAGGTGATATGAAAATGTAGTTTTTCGTTACGTCTTTCTTACATTTCAGTATTTCTATTCCTTGCGGGTTAAACTTATCTATATTAGAACTACGATTTCACAAAATATTTTTGATTTTCTAGTTGTTATGCTTAACCTTTCCTTCTAGTGGTACCTCCTGCACCACTCATGTCTTGCAAGGAGATTTATGATGCGACCGGGTAAGTTTGTTCATCTTTTTTAACGCGGAAACATGGTGAAAAAACAATGAAAAACAAAGGTACTCCTGCATTTTGTAAAAAAAACTATTTAAAAGAATTGTTTCTTTTAGGTCAAAAGAGAACAAGGCATATACGGTCGACTTGAACGGTTGCAAGAAGCTGCCCGTTTACTGCAACATGGATGGAGCAGGTCTTGGCGACTGTGGAGGCGGAGGTTGGACGTTGGTAATGAAGATTAACGGTGCAAAGGTAACCACAGAGTTAATGTTGTAGTGTTAGCCTCCCACTTAGTTCGGTTGTCTCCTCGATGGAAATTACAGTAACATTCAAGTTAGAAATGGTTAGGTTTACAATAGCTATAGTTGCATTAAAATGAGGATAAGGACGCAACCGTTTTTATCGAAAATCTCAACTCTTATTTTCTCTTGTAGCAAACGTTTAAATTCGATTCACCGTTTTGGACGAACAAGAAAGAATACGGCCTCCCTGAAGGGGAGAGACTGGCTTGGATGACCAAGAGACTAAGTTACCAACCTACTGGAACACACCCTTCACCAAGATCTGTCTCGGTATGAAGGTTGGTGAGGTCACCAAGTTCTTTGTTTTGAACCGAAATGCAAGCTCGCTGTACGCCCTGATTGCAGATGGCAAATATCGCAAAACCTCACTGGGTCGGGACGAATGGAAGAAGTTGATCACTGGTGCTTCCCTGCAAAACAACTGCCAAAAGGAGGGTTTCAACGTCCGGAGTGTGAACGCCAATTCTGCTAAGGCACGAATTGGAATCGTGGGTAACAATGAAAACGACTGCACGTCCAGTGATTCCCGGATCGGGTTTGGTACCGCTGGATATCCAGACAATACCAACTCGTGTGGCAATGTGGCCAAGCACGGTGGAGATAATGGTGACAAATTCATCAAAGCCATGGGGTACATCTTTGTTCAGTAAAAATAGTTGAACTTCAAGCATTAGGGACTAGGCTAAGCTACTGGCTGCTAGGCTCAGTCTTTAGTAAAATGTAGGCTAAAAAGTCTCGTTGTTGAAAATAATAATAAAATGGATTATAGGGTGAAAGATGCTGTTCTCTTTGTGTCTTTTATCGTTTTAAGATCTTTTTTTTCCTCCACCGTTATGGAACGGTCAAGGGACCATTCAAATAAAACTAGGCCAAGAATAATCTTGCACGTAATTTTTAATCCGTGTTTCGGTCCCTAAATCAAAGTCAGTAGTATTTTAGAGCGAGATGTTGTACATTTTTATGGTCAATTATGGCATAGAGTGGTGTTGTTTATCGTCTTTCATAATATCCCTAAGCTGTCCTATAGTAAAGTCTGTTTACGAGCCTAGTGGCCCATTGGGCCGGTGCTTAACTCCGGTTTCTGCAGCATGAAGTGACTAGGAGTATTTCTACTCCCCCCTGGATGGGATGCTAGTCCATCGCATTAAATTGCCGGTACCCATTTATGCACCTGGGTGAAGAGAGGCACTGTGAGAGTAAAGCGCCTAAGAAGACAACACAATGTCCCGGTCGGGGCTCCAACCCGGACCACTCGATCCGGAATCGAGCGCACTAACCATGAGGCCCCCGCGCCTCCACAAGCTGTTCTATGGAATGATGTTAATAGTAGTTTCAGCATTTTCAGAACAATTACCATACCTGTCAGGAAATAAAACCCTGTGTGCTCGTCAGGTAATTAGATATTTCTTCATGACCTCCGGTAAGAGCTTTCGGCATGAATTATTGATGTTTTTTATTTTAAGCGCTCTGCCGATGAGTGCTTTCTAAACTCGCCAACCGATGTGAACGCATGTTTCACGCTTTGAAATCGCTTTTCCGACCGTTATTTTCCATCGGGGTTATTGCGAGTGTTTCCTCCATTTGACATACAAAGTCATATAAACAAGGGCTTTTGACTAGACCGCTGACTTCTTCATTTAATCAGAAAACATGTTCAGTCGATCCTTACAGTAGAATGTGGACATTGTAGCCTATGGAGCTCATAGATGGTGATAAGCGTCATTCACCATTATCTCCCGAAAAAGTAGTCTAGCTTGACTGTCATGGATGTAAAATTACGCTGTCTTTATGGCTAACTGCTGTTACATATCGGACCTCAGCATTTGCTGTAACTAAGCAGAATGATTTGTGTTGATTTCTGACAACTTACACCCTGAGTGATGTTCCCATTTATTTATGAAGCATATTGTTACGGGAAAATTTATTGATTTTTCCCTGTGGATGTTTAAGCATATTTATTCGTTGTTTTTGGAATTTTAGCGTTCTCAATTCATGCGAGTTTCTTTCATTGCGATGTTTTAAAAAGTTAAAAAGCCACAAGTAAATTTTGAATAGTCAAGTTAAATTGTACAGCTGTATCTCGGTACTTTTCTTGTTCAATTCTAGTGAAATTTTTGGTAAATATGTGTTAATGGCCTTTCTGGCAAAATTAGTTCCCATGGTAGTTAGCAGCTGAGTTTAAACGCGTTATTCTAATTTCCTTTCATACGATAGTTTCCACACCAACCTTGCGTAGATAAGCAGAAACTTTTAATTACTTTTCCACTTTTATTTCCTTAGCTGCGCTACTGCAATTAAGATAGGTATATTTTCTATACCAGAGCTGTGAATTCTCACCTGAGTTTCCTATTTTTAATGGCCTCGAGTTTATTGTATCCGTCCTTTTAATTTGAAATTCTTTTCGTCATAGAAACAGGTGGGAATATTTATAAGAAGTTTTCGTTTAACTTAAAAGAGACCTTTGCCGCTTCTTTTGTTATACTATTAAAATATGGTCGATTTAGATAACAATAGCATCTCACACCAGTTAGTTCATAAGCAGCTACATTGTACAGCTCTGATGATTACAAGTTAGTCTTGACTCTGGCATGATGTATGTTAGAGTGCTCTAGGAATAAAGTCTGCTGTGGAAACAAAACGCTGTCTCATCCTTGACGTCTGCACAAGCTCGCTCGAAGTAGATCTCCGTGTGCCAGGAAATCGTGGCGAGTTTCCGTTCTCGCTGCCGAGTCACTCTACAAAGCCAGTTCCCCTCGTTATTGATGTGCCTTCCGCGATGGTTCAGTTTCCCAGTTTAGCCCGCGAAAACCTATCATCACAATATTTTCTTCAGAGCACACGTGGAGACTTAAACATAACCACAAAAAGTATGCTCAGTGAGTCGTTAACCTCTTCATTTGATTAAAGAACCTTTACAAGTACAAATTGATTGACATCCTTACAATCAACATTGATTTACCGTTCATCTGATATCGGTCCAAACCACCTACCCTTTAATAGGAAATTATTAAAGTGTTTCAGCCTTCAGTCCGTAGCTGATCTACTATGCCATGGCTTAAAAAATCTGTAACGCCGCCACTAATTAAAAAGACCCATGTCTAAATAACCATGAGGTGTGGTTTGAGTCATAACTGTATTTTGGTGCACTCCCTTAACATTTTCTCTTAGTAAGTCAAACGTTTAACGAGAAATGTTCGGATTTTATTTCATGTTTCTTAATTATAAAGAGACGTTATTTGTTCGAAGTTCGCAAAAGCAAATTACTGAAAAGTCAAATAATTCAAATTTATCTTTATCTGAAATCAATTTTTACCGAATAGTTATCTGCCCAAAAATCGTCGCGTTTCGTTTCAATAGTTTTCCTTGGCGATGTTTGATTTAGAATCGTTCGTTTGAGATGTTATTACGGGGGCTCTAGATCTGTACCCTAACAAAGTCGGCTTCCTCGGAAAATTGATGGAAAAATAATTCAAATTGTGATAAATTTGGTTTGTTTTGAAATTCATCACGTAAACTAATCCGTTCCCATGGTATTTTCAATAGTCAATCAAAGCGAAAGTGTTATCATGTAATAAAGGCTGATAGTTTCTAAAGAAACTGTTTGGGGCTGCGTCGGTGGGGGTAACGAAATAATTTGAATATATCAACAAAGTTGAAATGGTAAATTGGCCACCGTAACGATTACAAAAGCTGACGTTTCGAGCGTTAGCCCTTCGTCGGAGCGAATCATGTAAGTTTGTTTTTTAACCTAATGTCGGAGCCTTTACCATGAAAACGCTATAGCTAGACATGCGGGGGTATTTTCCCTCTACCCTGGAAATATAGTCCAGTAACGTGTTTTTCTAAAGTCACTGCAGCGAGTGTTCATATCTATAGCTATTTATGCTTTCTTCGAAACCTTCATAATTTGTTTTCGTATCTATAGTTATTAAGACTCACTTCAAAAACTGTTTTTCTGTGATTGGCTGACCATTGCACAGTCTGCTGATCAATACCTGAAACCAATCAATGTGTAGGAACTGATTAACTTTCGAAAACTCTCTTTGAAAAGTGAGAACTACTGTGGCCTTAGCTGAGGAGAATTTGGCTTTTAAGCTGAAAGGCAATCAAAGGCTTATTAACAGTGCTCTTTTTCTCTGCCAAATTATCTCTCTTCACCGTCAACCTGGTCAGTTTATTTTGTCGAGTAAGGGTCAGACGTTGCAGCGATGAAGGTTATTGCAGTTATTTTCCTAATGCATTAAATCATTTTCGCAGATGCTGGAAAAGGAGTCACGAAACACTGCAAGAGTGCAGACGCAAAGTTGGATGAGCTCTAGGAAATTATTGAGAATTTGAAATCTCCTTGCCCAGGTATTACAGAATTGTACTTTGAAATTCACTCGTCAAATCTTCATTTTCTTCCTATTTTAATTTGTATTTGTCCTTCTTTGAAAATCTGTAAAAATCCAGAAGCAGTTTAAAGTTTTGGTTATCCCTTTTTTTATCTAGAACCGCCGCCTCCTGAACCACCCAAGTCTTGCAAATACGCCTTTGAACGCGGAGAAAAGTAAGTGGTCCTGATATCTTAATGTGTAAATATATAAAAAAGAAAACGCTGAAAATAACAATACTCATAGACATGCTCTAAAGAAATTCCTTTTTTTCGGTGGATAAAGAGCGAACAAGGAATACATGCTCCAGGTGGATGAATCTACGAAACTTCCTGTTTATTGTAACATGGATTGCGATGGTCTCGGCGATTGTGGAGGTAAAGGATGGACACTGGTAATGAAGATGGACGGCACAAAGGTAGTTGAAGAGAAGCCATTTTATCCTGTAATACACAGCGGTTAAAATGAAATCGGTTTTATTCACGTACCTAAGAGAACTAACAAAATAATTAAACACACGCTGTCTATATATGCAGGTCTCGAGGGTATTACATCTCACCATCACGCATCGCATTACATCGCGCATATTACATGCTAGTTGGCACCCTATACACTACACATCCTATGATAATATTCTCACCATTTTTGAACTGTTCTTTAAACTTTTTATATGCAATTTTTATTAGTAAATGTTAGCTGCAATAACTAAGTTGCATTCTATGTCCGTCTGGGATATGCTATATAGTAATTTAGCACCATATCCAAGTACCTCATTGGTTTGTTACAACTTTCAAACCCAAAGCAGAGATACGTATGAATTTAAAATATCGTAATGAATATATGACGCTAGTGAAATAAAAAGCACTCTAAAAGTTTTATTCAAAAGAATGATGTGAGTGTCCTGGGTGAGAGCAATTACCAAAACCCACGAATTTGTAACAACAATAAATGTCTGCGCACTTTCAAAGATTTTAGGGAAATCTGCAATGAAGCAGATAGAACATGAGCACGGTAGCTCGCTGTTGAAGAGAATCTCTGGTTTAATAATATTTTTAGTTGGATTGGAACTTGTGACAACTTCATCGACAATATTCTTGCCTTTAACTCGCGAATTGATAGTTGAGGTATAAAACTGATTAGTTTTTGGAAAATAACAGTTGTTTGGGGTTGTAATTATCTAGCTACTATGAGGGCAATTTAAGAGCGCAACATGATCTAAGGCTTAAGATCCTTTTGTTTTCTCTTATAGTCCACATTTAAATATGACTCACCTTTTTGGAGCCACAAGATGGAGTACGAACCTTCAAGCGGGCAGAATTTGGACGCCGGAGAGACCAAGCTGCCAACCTATTGGAGCACATCCTTTACCAAGATCTCCCTGGGTATGAAGGTTGGTGCGGAAAGCAAATTTATCGTTTTGAACCAAGCGTCAAGCTCACTGCACTCTCTGATTGCCGATGACCAATATCGCAAAACCTCACTGGGCCGAGATGCATGGAAGTCTCTAGTTGCTGAAGCCTCCTTACAGCAAAATTGTAATAGAGAAGGTTTCAACGCTGTGAGTGATCTGTTAAATCATTCGAAAGCACGAATTGTTATCTTGGGAAACAATGAAAACGATTGCAAGTCCAGCGATTTACGAATCGGGTTTGGTACCGCAGGATATCCAGACGAGAGCAATTCGTGTGGCGACGTGGCAAAGCACAGTGGAGATAACGGCGACAAACTTATCAAAGCTATGGGTGTCATCCTCGTTCAATAAAAACAGTTGAACTTCAAACATTAGGGGCTAGGCTAAGCTACTGGCTGCTGAGCACAGATTTTAGTAAATGCAAGCTAATATGTCTTATTGATGACAAAATTAATAAAATGGATTATTGGGTGGAAGAAACCGTTCTTTTTGTGTCTTGTATTATCTTTAAATATTTCCCCCGGTTAACAAACCTGTAGGCCCTAACGGGGACAATGGCGACAAATTCATTCACGTCAGAATAAAAAAACCAGAGCCTCAAACATTAGGGGTATCAACTACACTTCGGGCTGCCAGGCATGGTTTTTAGCATAAGCAAGTCAACAAACCTATTTGTTGAAAAACTAATTAAATTGTCTATGGAGTCAAGGGAAGTAGTTGGCTCGTATTTCTGTTTTAGTGAAACCCAAAAATTTTCTGTAGCCAACTAAGTGGTTTATCAGCCGGTAAACCAATAGAAAGTGCGGTTCAGTATTGCTTTTACGACATAGACTTGACTGAGTGAGTGAGTGAAGTTTCTTAGAGCGAATGAGATAAATCTAATCTTATTTTCCCATGAAAACCGTGAAAAAGTGCGATAAACCAGTCAAAGCAACGGAAACTGAATAAACCATCGGCCAGAATAGCGAAGACTGCAATTGATTTATCGCTGAATGAAAGCAGCAGCTCGGAAAAAATTGTTAAAAAAAATGGTAAAAAAAAACTAACGTGAGATAGCAATAAGCAAAATAAAAGCACAAAATAATTATAAAGTGCAACTGAAGAAAATTTCAATTGGGAAGAAGGCAACGCACTTTGTGTGGCCAGAACTTGCTTACCATTGAGATCGCGTTTCCTCAGGCGCGTTTCCTCCATCCAAATTGGTATCAATCTTGAGTGAACATTCATTTTGCAATCGGTCTGTTGTTCTCCTCAGTAAACATGATTTTCCGAATATATCTAGATGAAAATTCAGTCAGTTTGGCGTTATAATTTTCTTGAAGCAAAAATTGAGAGCTTTTCCTTCTCGACAGGCAGTTTGGAGAATTCTGTATCGAAAATTTTTTAAGCTTTTCACTTTAACCAAGCAGCGAAAAATAAAGGCTTAAAACGGAGCAACCAGTAAGTTTAACTGAATTTTAAATATAAAATTTGTTAATGTTAGAAAAATAAGATCTTTGTCGGTGTGTTTGGCGTTCAAAGTGTCCTCTTCGTTTCCTCCAAACCAAAGGCCTTTACCAAATTAAAATCAGGAAATTCGCCCCGTGTGCCGCCATTTCACAAAAGGGGAAGATGTTTCAGTTTTTAAGATTATACAGGCAAATAGATTTTTGATCAATCAGTGCGCACGTTGTGTCTAAGTTATGCATAGTTTAACGTGGGTTTGAGTCGATGAAGGAAGAGGAAAACGCACGCGCTGCGGGATGTAAATTGGCGATTTCGCTTTAAATTTTTAATTTCTTCAGTTTGTGAGCAATATCATAAACAATTTAAAAACCTCAGCCGTTGGGTTGTTACGGAAAAATCTCAAATCTAGGGTAAGGTCTCGTTGGAAATTTTTCCGTAACGACCTCACTCTCGGTCTATGAGTAATTAGCTGAACTTTTACGTAACTTTGCTAACAAAAATATCCAATTGGAAAACGGACTTGTTGTCCCTGGGTCCTTCCTAGCTAAAACTACGACTGGCAAAGCAGTCATCACAGAATTTTGAGACATTATTCGTTTGAAGGAACTATTCCCTCACGTGGTCTTGATAGTCGAGAGACTGAGGCGAAGACCACTGTTTCTGTAATGAGGCTTTGCGTGAGCAGTTGAAGGAAGATGAACCACGTTTGTTCTCAATCAAGGGATTGTGTCTCAATGTCCATGCACTCAAGCAGTGTTATCACTGAAACAGACTAGGGACTCTTATTGGAATAGGGGCAATCATTGAAATGAGGGTGCTATCTCAACAGGGGCGTTTACGAGAATGGGGCGCTTCTTTTCAAAAACCTAATTCGTGGGGGGCGCTCCCAGGAACGAGGGCGCTAAATCGAATCATTTTTTTAGCTGAAATAAGTAGGACAGAGCACCCGCTTGTTTAAATTTACAAGGACTCTACCTGCAACGCTATTAAAGAACTCTCGAGGGGGCAACGCTGATGAAAAAAGGCGTGGAATAATGAAGGTGTTTGTGATGAAAAAGCATGTTTTGATACGAACCTTAACATTGCATATCTTCGTTATCACACAACGTGTAAAAACTAGAATTGCTATTGTTTTCTATTCTCGGTTTCGCGCCAAGTTATGACTGTACATATTTATTCTCATCAATATACGCTTTGCTTCGTGCGCCAGTGCTTGTCCATTAGTTGCTTTCAACTAAGCCATTTTGTTCTTCGTCACCTACGTTAGTTTTATTCACTTCAAGGAAGATTCATACGGATACCCAACAGATTGTAAGTTAATTTTATTTCGTCTAGCAATAGTTATATTTTGCATTTAAACATTTGTCTTTTGTTTTCAGTTGAAACAGACCCACACACCCACTTTCACTTTGATTAGATATCTGTGCAATCGATGTTGTGGCGTACGAATTTTTAGCGTCTATTTAAACAGCGCAAAATGTTGTAAGACTGAAACAGTTGAAAAACGCAAAATCTCAGGAAGAAACCATACATTGAGTCCCATCTCTGAACCGTCACCTCAGTACGGTGTAAATGAGAAAATTCTCATGTAGCTTTGCATGGTTCAACAACTATCTAGTGATCAGAAATCGAAATATGTGTGATTCAATTTTGGGTGACCACAGTATACTATATCATACCGTTACTCATCTATTCTCTACTAATCCATTAATCTCATCTTTAATTTATTGTTTATTGGCCACTTTAGATTGTAGCTCAGTTATTCGAGGCAGGATAAAGGTCAGTTCAGGTTACTTCCCACCTTCAGTTCGCAGGTGTTCTTCGGGAAAAAACTCGTACGCGCGATAGTTTCAAGAAAACCCTTTTAAACTATACATCAAAGGAAAGCTTAATAAATTCAGTTTACGAAAAAAATACAATTTAGGCGTTTTTNAATAAAGTCTTTATTCCATCATAAGATAAAACTACATATCTTATGTTACAATGAATTTGGAAAAACTACAGAAATCTACATACATATTATGAATTAAAAAGTATGTCATTACAATAAATGGAGCTTAAATATCAACCTATTTACAAAGGTGTTCATAAAGCGCTGTGTATTAATTTTCGGGCGCGCGCAGCCTTTTTTCCTAAGATTGTGTACATATGTCTTTTGGACAGGAATGATGTCTTTCAGGGGGTGGCAATCCGTTGATTTTAGTTTCTTCAAAATGTTTCGGTCTTGTTTGTTTAAAAGGTTCTTGATAAAAACTGGAAATGAGATAAAACCGCGTTTATGACATCGGTCTAAAAAATTTTGTACAACCGTAAGATCGGACTCAAATGCCCCATAGACTGAAAGTGCATAGCTAAAATTAGCCAAAACAATGGATATAAAAAGATGATCAATCTCTACCTGAGAGTAATGTTCCTTTCTCAATGTTCGTAGGACGTGTAAACACTTGTTTGCTTTGACAAGCTTAGTTCTTACATGCTCAGCAAGTTTTCCGTCACTCTGTAAAGTTACTCCTAGTAAAACGAAACTATTACATTGGGGAATATTATTAATTGGAGAGTAGAGTCCATTATGATTTTTCTTTCTAACAGCCAGCTCTTTACATTTGCAAGGGTTGCAGACCATTCTATTGTCTTTACACCATGTTAAGAACTGTCCTACTAAGTCGGCAGACGGGTCACTATTCCTAGTGATAGGCGAAAGAATAGTGGAATCATCGGCATATTTAAAAAGCACAGGGCAACAGAGCATTACTCATTTGGTGACTATTACACAACAACGCTTGCATGTGCGTCTCCTGTTCCCAAAAAGAATGAACACTCTGTCAATGACAAGAAGAAGACATGGTAGAAACTTTCTGCAGAGCAAACTGGGATCATGTAAAGTGATCGAAAGCCTTCCATAGGCTATAATTGGGCATAAATTTGTTAATCGAGCGTGAACATCAGAAACCATGTTTGAAAGTTCTTGATACTGTGAACGGGCCGTGTCTTTTGACTTCAAACTTGAGCAAGGTAGGATTTGCAGTTTTATCTTTGAATGTTTGCCAGTCTCCTTATAGAAGGTGGTATTCTTCGTGAAATCGAGGTGGTGTCGAATATTCGTTTTATTGATACTTTTCGGGTATTAATACTATAACTTGGCAACTTTACCGTTTCACAACTTACCAGTTGTGTTCACAGCCTCTCAAAAATTTCCTTTGATTTCGGGTCAGTGTCTGTTAATTTTGTGTTGAATCGATCAATATCCACCAGTTGATATTACTCTTTCCTCTCACAACTTATGTCCCCAAGTTCTATTTGTACTTTAAGGAGAAATTGGTTTTTGGTCAATATCGGCGATGAAAGGGTTCAAAATCTTGGTTTGAAGTCAAAAGATCTTCTCATGGTGGAGATTACCCATGGAACCAAGCGAGAAACTTGTACTCTAAACCTTTCTCTCAAATGAATCATGAAAAGAGTTTGTTTTAAATAAAACCAGTGTGTATAAATCTTTCTTGAGATTTATGATTGAAAATATGCATGCTTCTGGATTCACATGTACATGTTTAAAAAGTTTCTGAAACACAATACATTACTTCATAAAATTTTGTCAAAATGTGTTTAATTCATTACCCTCTGCACAACTCAGGTGAGTTCTGTTTCCTCCCGCAAAATCTGTTGCCTTTTCTTTATTTGATTACATCTTCAGGGTTCTTCACATATTTTACAATAGTGATAATAACTTGAATAATAAAAGTAATAATTATGATAATAAATAATTAGTGAAAAGTATTTATTCATCGTGATAAAAATACATAGTGTAGATATTACGTAATGTGCATGGCTACACTGGTTAAAAGCAAAAGAGATTGGGGAGATCTTTGTGTAAATTCTATCATTTATATACCTGTGGCTTAGTTGTACTTAAAAAAAATTAATAATCTGTTGATAAAGCTATTTTCAAGAGTTCTGTATTTATTTTTGGTCTTAAGCTGGAGCTGTTTCTAAGGCATGCTGATCATTCTTTCTACTTGGAATA